CTGTCACCCAGGCTAGAGTGCAGTGGCACAATCTCAGCTCACCACAACCTCCTCCTCCCAGGTTCAAGTGATTCTCCTGCCTCAGCCTCCCGAGTAGCTGGGATTACAGGCATGTGCCACCACGTCCGGCTAATTTTGTATTTTTAGTAGAGACAGGGTTTCACCATGTTGGTCACGCTGGTCTTGAACTCCCGACCGCAGGTGATTTGCCTGCCTCAGCCTCCCAAAGTGCTGGGATTACAGGTGTGAGCCACCACACCTAGCCTCAGTTTCTTTTTTCAACACTCATAAATTGCATTTATGTAATGACCTGGAATCATGTGTTAACACTTAACAAAACCCTGGTCCTTCTTGCTTGATATCCCAAGTATGATGATGATGATTACAGTGTGGTGCCTAATGTGATTCACTGAGGTGACTAGATGGCTGGCAGTGTAGATAAGCCGTGAGACATCAGGCTCACTTGAATGTTGACAGGCTATCAGGATGATTATCTGTGTTGGATGAACCAAGTTTCCTGTGAGGGACACCTGATCATTCATTGACTTTTTTCTTTTTTTCCTTTTTTCTTTTTTTTTTTTTTGAGATGGATTCTTGCTCTGTCGCCCAGGCTGGAGTGTCATGGCACAATCTCAGCTTGCTGCAACCTCCACTTCGCGGGTTTGAGCAACTATCCTGCCTCAGTCTCCTGAGTAGCTGGGATTACAGGCATGCACCACCACACCCAGCTAATTTGTTATTTTTTTTGTATTTTTAGTAGAGATGTGGTTTTACCATATTGGCCAGGCTGGTCTCGAACTCATGACCTTGTGATCTGCCCACCTCGGCTTCCCAAAGTGCCGGGATTGCAGGCATGAGCCACCACGCCTGGCTAACATTTAAACATCAGTCCCTTCAACAGAATGAATTGCTATGAAAGGCACACTGTAAATATCACAACCAGATGTCTGGGAGCCCCATGATGGCAGCACTAGAGTTTGTAGCCACACTCCTGAGAGACCCCAATGACAAATTAGAAGAAAATACATGTGCATGGCTCTCTGCAACAGAGGTAGTGGGGAGAAAGGTAGCTGGTCCTATGCTGAATGTTGAAATGGCCACAATTAACCACAGTTTACCATCCAAATCTTTTTCTGGAATGTGATGTTTTCTTTTCTTTTCTTTTTTTTTTTTTTTGAGACAGAGCCTCAGCATTGCACTCAAGCCTGGTCGATAGAGCAAGATTCTGTCTTGGTGTCGCCCAGCCTGGAGTGTAGTGGTGTGATCTCGGCTCATTGCAACCTCTGCCTCCCGGGTTCAAGTGATTCTCCTGTCTCAGCCTCCTGAGTAGCTGGGACTATAGGCTCCCACCACCATACCCAGCTAATTTTTGTATTTTTAGGAGAGGTGGGATTTCACCAGATTGACCAGGATGGTCTTGATCTCCTGACCTCGTGATCCACCTGCCTTGGCCTCCCAAAGTGCTGGAATTCTAGGCGTGAGCCACTGTGCCTGTCCAATTTTCTGGAACTTTCAAGGCTTCAGTAGACTGTTAACGAGAACAGAAGCAAATAAAATGGATGTGGTACTCACCCTAGACATCACAGTCTATCTGGGAAGACAGTTTGATTAGTTACTTTACATAACAAGTTAAGGTAAAAATAATAGTTTAACTATTTACCAGTTAGTTTTTTGTTTTGTTTTTGAGGAGACAGGATCTTCCCATGTTGCCCAGGCTGGTCTCCAATTCCTGGGCTCAAGCAATCCTCCTGCCTCCCAAAGTGCTGGGATTACAGGCACAAAGCACCATGCCCAGTCTATTTACCAGTTTCCAAATCCCTATTAAAAATCTTAGAATTTTTTTCCTCTACTTGATGTATAAGCACAGGAAGAAACCCAGGACTCTGCCAGTTGCTTATTCAAACAGTGGAATTGAGGGACTCTGTCTCATTTAACTCATCAGTACTGGTGAGAAGCACATGAAGACTCTTGCAGCGGCCATGGGGAATGTTCCCTTTGGCCCTCTGATGTTTTGCTGAATTAATTGGAGAGAAGAGACACTAATTGGTGAAAAAGCATACAAATTTTATTTAACGTGTATATCTGGGAAACTCCAGAATGAAGACCCAGAGATACAGAGGAAATTGTTCTTTTTTTTTTTTTTTTTGAGACAGAATCTTGCTCTGTCATCCAGGCTTGAGTGCAGTGGTGTGATCTCAGCTGATGCAGCCTCCACCTCTTGGGTCCAAGTGATTCTCCTGCCTCAGTCTCCCAAGAGCTGGGATTACAGGTGTGCACCACCACATCCAGCTAATGTTTGTATTTTTAGTAGAGATGGGGTTTCACCATGTTAGCCAGGCTGGTCTCGAACTCCTGACCTCAGGTGATCTGTCCGCCTCGGCCTCCCAAAGTGCTGGGATTACAGGCATGAGCCACCGTTCCCGGCCTGGAAATGGTTCTATTTTATGCTTAGGTTTAACAATGTATGGACAGCCATGTAGAAATGTGATTAGACCAAAAGTGTATGATCCCATACTAACAGACTGAGTGGGGAAACCCAACAGGGCCTGGCTAGATTGTTCTTGGCCTTTCTGAGAATGCATTCCTTTCTTCTGGGTATAAGGCAGGACCCACTCTGAAATGGGGGGTTTTATGACCTGCAGCAAGCTTGTCCAACCTACTGTCCAGGACGGCTTTGAATGCAGCCCAACATAAATTCGTAAACTTTCTTAAAACATTAGGGATTTTTTGTGTGTGTGATTTTTTTTAGCTCATCAGCTATTGTTGGTGTTAGTGTATTTTATATGTGGTCTAAGACAATTCTTCCAGTGCGGCCCAGGGAACTCCCAGGGACACTCCTGACCTACAATCAAACAAGGTTGGCAGTTAATTTGCCCATGGCCAGTTTTTACACAGAAAGGACAATGCAAAGAGTAATACATTTAGGTTTTATTCCTGGATTTAGGGGAAAAGAGTTCTGGATTCTATGACCTGGAGAGGAGAGATTCTAGTTTCTATGACTAGCCTTGAAAAAGAATGGGACTAAGTTTTTCCTCTGCCCACTGCAGAGAAAAACCTTTTGCTTCTGAGGCTTCTTCCAGGGTCTTCTTTTTAGGGTATTGTTTTCTGAGCCCTAACCACCTGGAGTGGGCAGCAGAGTTGGAGCCAGTGACTCCACGCTGAGCCCATTCTGAAGGCTGCAAAGGGAGGGAAATGAAGCCTCCTCTTTGGTGCTTCCTCCACAGCCTGTGCTGGTCTGCACATAGTCTGAAGCTGTGCTTAAAATCAGATGTTAGCATTTATGTATTAGGAAAATCTGGGTAAAGAGTTTATGAATTTGACAGTTTATGTAGGTTAGTAACTTAAACTAACTTTTTTTTTTTTTTTGAAACCAAGTCACTCTGTCACCCAGGCTAGAGTGCAGTGGCACAATCTCAGCTCACCACAACCTCCTCCTCCCAGGTTCAAGTGATTCTCCTGCCTCAGCCTCCCGAGTGGCTGGGATTACAGGTGCCCACCACCATGCCCAGCTAATTTTTGTATTTTTAGTAGAGACAGGGTTTCACCATGTTGGCCAGGCTGGTCTTGAACTCCTTACCTCAGGTGATCCACCTGCCTCGGCCTCCCAAAGTGCTGAGATTACAGGCATAAGCCACCGTGCCCGGCCCTTTAACTTTACATGAAACTTTACTGCTGGTGAAAATGCAGGTCTTGAAGGAGGGGACATTTCCACACTCTGCAGAGGGCACAGGGAAGTATGTTGAGCTCTCAGAGTCAAATCCTTCAGTGTCCCAGTCTCATCACCAGGTTTTTATCCACTCTGGGTTTCCATTTCAACAGTTAAGAGACTGGCTACCAGGTCTGGGAATATGTTTAGCCTCCTGAATGGGATGTTTGCTTGTGAAGTATGAGTGCAGCAGGCTGCTTTATCTGAACTAGTTCAAGGTTTTGCTTTTTTTTTTTTTTCTGTTTTGATTCATTCATTCATTCATTTATTGCTGCTGTGTGATTTCAGTTCTTCCACACATTGGATATTTAATACCGTTCACTTGTTTTTATTTCCGTGGCTGAAAATGAGTAGATTGAGATGCAAGGTGAGAGGAAGGCTTGACCTTACCACCAAGAGTCTTATCCCCAAATCCTGATGACCAGTGGACCTCAGGCTCCCTCCTGCTGCAGTGTGGCCTCTGTGGCCTGGGCTTCCCTCTGCTCTGACGCCAGGGGAATGGCTCCACTAGACCGTGGGTCTGGGATTACCTGCACACACGTGTGACAGCTTCTCCAGGAGGAAAAGCAATAAGGGCCCGCTGAGTATGGGCAGGGAATTCTGCATACATGCAAATGTTCCCTGGGAGGGATCAGGTCACACTGCAGGGAGGAAGCCTGCCCTGCCAAGGGCTGTGTTTGGAACCCGTTCATCCCGCTCTACTCAGCACTGTGATCGCTTTTTCTAT